TTTTTTTTTTTTTTTTTGCAAAAATACAATAATCAAGTTATTTGTGTACTTTTTGTCAGCCAAGACATTGGGATTGTTAAAAATGAGTAATATATATTTATTAGTATGAAATCTTTATCAAAATGTTTTGAAATGACAAACTTGTCACTGTCAAAGGTGATATCTTAATCTTTCTGGACTGTAGCCAACATTGCACATCACTCCAGAGAGACTACACTGATTCACAACAGAAAAACACATGTATTCACATCAAATTAAATCTCAATCTTAAGAATTAATTCTTTCCATAAATCTCATTTAAAATTTTGAAGTTCATTCTTTTACCTTAGTAGGAAGTGGAAATAGATATATCTTTTTCTTATCTACATAACCTCTTCAACATCAGAAGTACTGAGAATATAATTTTACTGGGTTGAGGAAACATGCCTTTAACAAAAAGTTTCTAGTAACTCTGTTTGTCCCAAAAGTCAGTTCCTTCGATGCAAAGCTGTCTCAGCCCAGGAGAAACCTTTGAGTACCATAATTTCTTCTTTACCATTTATCTCATCAGTCTGTTATAGTTCTTAACACTGGAGTTTTCCTCAAAAATGCATTTCTATTCTCATCCATAAAATGAGCAACAACCCAAATCCCTTTGGAGCTACATTTCTCTATGTACACAGATTTCCTACTGAGCAATATCTATCTGCTGTACCAAAGTGGTGTGTTATGTGGTAGAATAAGATAAGATAAAATAGACTTTATTGTCCCAAATGGAAATTTGGAGCTGTTGCTATTCACAATCCCTTATACTCAGTACCTACTGTACATGTACAGACTGCCATCAGCCAACAAATTGCATGCACCACACATCTGTTTAACATAGTCATCATAAATATTAAATGGATAATATGGTGTTAAGTTGTTTTTATGTATCAATTTCCAATAGAGAAGGTCTTGCTGATGGAAAGCATGAAGTTTAACCGATAAAAAGAACTCTTTAGAAAATGTCACTGGATCATTTTAACGTTTTCACATTTATTCTGATGAAATTTCAACATTGAATTAATCACCTCACTACCTAGGATACAACTGTCTATATAAGGCAAGAAAACTTAATTTTACTTCTCTTTAGTATATTTTGATCACAAGATTAAGTACAAGTATAAGCCAAATGTACTGTTTCTTACACTTGTTAGTATAAGCCAAATATTCACAGCTATACTCTTGGTAAGATTATCTCTTATAAGTACAGAAAAAGTAAACTGAAAGTATACTCTCTTTTAGTTTAAAAGAAGTACATTAAAAACATACTTGAATAAACCTCTTTCTTTTAAGGGGAGTTATGACCGTGGGTATTTACGAGCACTTGAACGCACCATTGCCATAGTTGTAAGGAGTACGATTCAACCACCGCGCCATTATTCCTCCTTAAAATGCTATTTAACTCTTTTTAAAAGTACAAAACGCTAACTTATATGAGACTTTAATATGCAAGAAAACATTTACCAAGGAGTGAAAGACAACGGAGAAGTTTTTATGTAGTTATCACCGTGTTTTCTTCGTGTCGAAAAAGCCTAGCGAGACCGTTAATTACACGTTACCGCCACCTGTCGTCGTGGAAGTCTCATAAAAAGGCCCACAATGGCTTAACATTCATACCAAAACTCTTCATTTGTTTGTCCATGTAAATAATATGTGATACTCACCAACGTTGGCCTAAAAGTCCACTGTTTGCTAGCTGTGTTGTTCACAGAGTAGTTGCAACACTCCAGCACATAGCCGCAGCCCTCGCTGTGGCACCTGCACCGAGTCAAGGAGTATTCCTGGTGTGAGGAGGTAAGCTTTCAGATGTAGCGCTCGCTGTAGGGCACTTAAATATACATACTCCACTATCTTTCAAGTAAGGGCAATTTACTGGGTTGTTGGGGTGAGTGAATGAGAATACCTCTTTTTTATGCCACAGCAGTCGTGCTGGTGTGAATAAGCCATGAAAGTGACTGACACACAGCTCCATTTTCAGTGGCAGGTCCTTAACTGCCTGATTGCCACTGTGAAGCTCAGGAATTTCCTTACGCTGACTTTCTTGCATGGCAAAGGCACAGGACTGATTCCTTCCCTGCTGAAACAGCAAATCCTGCAGAAACACACACACACACACACACACACACACACACACACACACAATGCAGGGCTTTTCATGGGCTGCCCAAACGAATCTGACTGGTTGATTACTGCTGTCTTTGAGTTTGATTCTGTCAGGTTTGTCCCCACAGATTCACAGAAATGTATGGTAACAGTTTATGTCATGTCAGACGGAAGCAACTGTTTTCTCAGGGCCTTTTTGAAAATTGATGACTCGGTCCAGAAGGAGGGGAAAGAAAAGAAAAAAGACATGAGAAGGAGATAATTAAATAAATAATTTGATCTGACCGAAGAGTGTGCAAATCATATGCACATAAATCCCCCCACGAACCCAGTAGAGTTAAATGTACATCAAAGACCGCATTCACATGTGACAGACAAATGACTCAGAGATGGGATAATTAAAGAAAGACTTATGTCACCAACCCTCCCCCAGCGATGGAGAACAGGCCAGTATGCTCTCTGCTTTGATCTAGGCTTCAGTTTTACTATCAAAAGAATTGTAAATCTGGTTTTTCAATTTTCACGCTCACAGTTTATGAGTCTTATGAGTGAGCGGTTGAGTCATTATAAGGCCTCATTTATGACAGTAATGTGTATCACTACAAATGTTTCCAGTAGGATGGTTATTTTCATTATTGATCAGGATGAAAATTATTTTCGGATGAAATGAAAATAATCTCCATGTTGGAATATCTACAACTACTACATTTATTGCATTTTTGCTTGAAAAATTACCTAAAGAAACTGTGTGTAAGATTTAGTGGCATCTAGTGGTGAGGACTGCAAATTGCAAACATCTGAAACTTCTCCCAGTTAGAATTCCTTCAGTGTTAATTGTTCAGGAAGTTTTTACCAGGAGCCGAATTATCTGCAGAAGTCTCCTCCTCTGGTAAACAAACAGACCATCTGATTTAAACCAGTAAGAACACTGAAAAAGCAGTTCCACGTTACAAATCAGTGTTTCTCTGATGCTGTTTGGCATGTTAGAGATGGGCTGCTAGCCTAGCACCTGGTAATGTGTGCTCACCTTTTTTCTCTGATGATTTCAGATCCAGATGTTCCGGAGGTTTTAAGCAGGAGCTGAACTATCTGTAGATGTCTCCTCTTCCCCAAAACAAACACACCAGGTGAGTGAAACTGATAAAATCACTGAATACAGCTGTTTCACATTAAAAAAAAATTGTATTTTACCAATGCTGCTCATCATGAAGGAAAAACTAACTCCGGTGCCCAATGCAAAAAGCCAAATGGCCCTATCTATAGCCAGTGTTTGCTTTGTCTGTTCTTGGCTACTGTAGAAACATGGCGGTGCAACACGGTGGACTGGGCCCCCAGGAAGTTCGCCAGGCTTTGAAGCCAATTTTTCTAGTGGCCAAATAGTGGTACTGCGATTCCCAGGGTCTGTCACCTGATGCCACTGGACCCAAAAGGACTTTATAGACTCTATTTCAATATCAAGATTTAATCCATTCCAACCGATAACACTCACAAAGTTTAAAAGAGCCACAGGATTACATTTTTTAATCCTCATTCAAGTTAGCGGAGTGCTAAACAGGAAGTTAGCTACTCAACTGGTGGTAGTTGGCTGCTTGGCTGTCCTCGATGGCCTCAAATCCCTAGTGGGCCTGCTCTGTGGGCCCAGTGATGCAGAAGCAGTGCTGATCATCTGGGTAATTTCAGACCATAGAAATAGAGCTTTTTTGGCTTCATGTGCCACTGAGCAACTTTCATAGGATGAACAGGAGCCAACCGCCAGTGTTGTATTCAGGTCTCTCAATACATCTATGACGAGGACCCGTTTCTGACATGGCTACAAACAGCTCATTCTAAGGGTGCTTTCAGACCTAGAGTCATCTCCTTTGGTTTTGAATCAGGGACTTATTTTGTTCCAAAGTTGTGTAATTGCCTAGAGTTGGTTTGTGTTCTCACGGCAGCATTTACAAGCGGACCAGATCAAATGCCTTGGGTGAGAAAGCTGCTCTTGATTGGTCAGAATTTCCATGTGGGAAAAATCCAGGAAGTAAAGCAAACGTTGAAGAAGAGTACACTTGCAAGATAAATGTGACACTTTCTAATGTCACAATGGAGGGACAACTACGCAGGTTGATTTTAGCGCTGCTCATCGTGGACTATATTGCTGTCATTGTTCATTTTAGTCAAACCATACAGTTTGAAAACGAGGCGCGGCTCCAACTAGAAAACAATGTTTTGATGCACTGGATGTGCTGAATGTGCATATTAAGGCAGTACAGGAGGAGGTGCACATTAATAATCCTCCAGGACTGTAACGTGCTCATGTTTAACCCAAACAATGTGTCATGTGACTGCAGTTGGTTCACATCCAGGTCGGAACACCTTCTCACCACAAACCAACTGCACCAGAGTTCATTTGTAACCGGATCAAGACCACCTCTTCAAGAAGGTCTCGGTCTGGTTGTTTGGTGCGCACCTGAGTGTGATTGTTGTCACACCTGCCCAAATGGACTGCACTTAGGGGGCAGAGGAACTTGAGTTTCATTGAACTGAACCAAACAGGGCAGGTGTGAAAGCACCCTAAGATAACAAAACCTTAACAATTCTTATTTTCAGGTGATTATACACCAAAGAAACCATGCTTATTATATTCAGTTTCTGCCATTATATCGTCCTAAATCCTGCACACTGGACCTTTAAATGATTAATTAATTATCATAATTGCTGCCAATTAATTCCCTGATGATTGACTGATTGTTTAGGCTCCTGTTTACAGCATTACCATTCTCAACTGCTGAAGCACACTGATGCTGGTGACTGTTTTTTCTCTGGAGTTGTGGGGGAACTCTGTGCTTTTAAAACAATGCGCTCTTTTTCATTTGTTGTACTCAGAAACAAAGTATCATTTGGACATCCTGCTGTGCCAAGTCTAATTTGTAGACGTGCCCCTTTCCCATTCATTGAGACGCCCGAGAATTCAGTGAGTGATGTAATGTCCCTCTTTTCCCCAATGAGACAAGGGCAACAATAGGGGGGAGTGCCTCTGTCACATTATTTTCCCCCACCGAGGCACGCCAGCTGCTTACAGTTGCTTAATGGCTACGAGCTGTCACAAGGCATCACAGCCCGCTGCCACACAGGAGCGGCAGATGCTTTAATTGCACAATGACTTGTAGGTTGTCAACAGCAATTATACCAGGCTTCCACCTGAGGGCACCCAAAGAACACCGTCTACTCTCCTCACTGGCAAGACACGAGGCTCAGAAGCTGGCTGCTACACATTAAACCTGATCTCTGAGTCTTGCTTCTGTCCAGACAAGAGCTGCAGACGGATTCCAAGTCTCTTTTTAGCTTAATGGTTTATCCATGTGCTGCAATAACCTGGGCAGGATTGTCAGACAGCAGGCTCAGGACCTCAAAATCATATTTAGACATAAAATATTTATCTAGCTTTGTCACCTTAGGGCCCGCTGCTCACCGTGCTGCGGCAGGTCGTGGTGTGCAGAGTTTGAGTAATTTTGCTCATTATTAATTCATGTCATTTTTTTTCCTTTGCGATTCAGGGGAGGCTCATTCGCCGCTGCCAGCCCTAAGATTATTATCATTAAGAGGAGGCAAATAAAATGGTGAGTTCAAAGCTATGCTACAACATGCCTCAGAACACATCGGTTCAAATATGTTGATAGTGTGTTATACATACATATACAGGTCTGAGACAACACTGTGTAATGTGCCTAGATTTGGTTCTATTTATAGACAGCACTGAAATTCTAATCAACTCAGGAACCAAACACACGTAGCGACCTTCTGTTTGTGTCACGTCAAATCGAATGGGTAAAAGATGTCCCGAGTCCCGTGTTTGTTTTGAGCCATAAGACAAATTATACACACATGTATGAATTCCTTTGGTCAACAGCTGCCATCTCAGCATCAGATAAAACAGAGCCAAAGTCTGGGAACCATCACATGCCTCCAACACTCCCACTTTATCATATAAAAAAAAAGAAAGAAAGAAAGAAAGAAAGAAAGAAGACAGTGTACACAAGAGCACACACAAACACGAGCAAGTGCAGCAGTGCTACACACAAAAGGCGCACATGCTCACACGCAAAACAGCGCTATGCTCTTTGTATCTGCCAACTGATGCAGATGATAGGGCTGCAGATGAGTGCAGGCTAACCAGAGACTGGAGGGTACATGTGGCTTCATAGACAATAGCAGGCCGTAGCCTTAGGAGGAGAATATTCAACGCTCAGAAACATGCTGAGGTAGAAATGAAGATTTTTAATGTAGTATAAAATCTTTGATATTGCTAAAAATTAAGTTTTTGGTGATACTGGCAAATAATGCAGTCACAGCGGCAGGTGTATAAAATGTGAATGTTACCTAGAGGAAGGAAAATTAGCTTTATGTCTCCTTATTAAAAGCGCATTTCCATGCCTGTATCCTTAGTGAAGTCCGCCTTTCAAGAGAAGGTAGTGTAGGTGCCGTGTATTTTGCTGTAGTGTCAGCAGGGGGTGTCCAAAATCAGGCTAGAGAAAGAGACCCTGTGCTTGTTTGAAGCAGCTTACAAGGCAGTGCTCCAGTTTGTAGTAGCTGACATTTTGGAACCAGTGGGTCAGCAAAATGGAGAAGCCATGGAGATGTATCAAAACCAGTGAGACTTTTGATTACAGGATGGTTGCGTGTAATTTATCGCGTCTCTTTGCTTTTTTTTTTTCCCTTCGTAGCCAGCTCTAATTACGGTTGCGGTGGGGGAAGTGACCGTTGCACAAGTAGGTTTCAGGTGTTCCTTTTCTACTCCCAAGTAGGACAGAGCAGGATGTCGTGCACGGAATATTTTGGGTCTACAGAGCTAAATCTAAACAAAAGATGTGTGCATGTGTGCGCGCGCGTGATGTGCGAATGCGTGTTGTCAATGATGTCATGACGGAGGAGGGAATCTTGATAGTTAGACAGATAACAATGAGCCCGCCGTATTCATGCCCTGCACACACACCTACAGACACACTCATGGATCCAGACACACACACACACACACACACACACACAGGGCATCATCATCGTCACAGAGGGAGAAAGGCTCATAATTGGACAGAGGTGTCTGTAGATAATGAAGCCAGACCTCACACCTGCCAAACCTTGGGGATTTCACTTGACTGGCCACTTAAATCTTCCTCACTCTGCGGGTCTGGAGGGCAAGAGAGTGAGTAAGGAACTAATGGAAAAAAAAGCACGCGCTACAGGGAGGATCCCTGTCAGCATGAGTGTAGTGTGGACCCCCCCCACCACCCCATCACACACACACACACACACACACACACACACCCTAGCTAGCTCAGCCCCCACAGCTCGTTCCATACAGCACCCACCTCACTTCACTTCACTGTAAATCCTCTGGTGTCAAGGATTTCAGACGGAAATGGGGAAATGCTGCACCAGCTATTTTGTTTCAAACTCTCAAAACACTCGCTTCTCCCAAGTTGTCTTTGGTGACAGCGTTGTGTGCGGGAAGCGTATTGTGCCAGCTTTTAGTGGGGTGTCATTCGAGGTGCTGAAAGGGAAATCAGATAGACGCTTCAACGGAGAAATACTTCTATATAGAAAGTTTACCTGACAGTCATCAGTGAAGGCGTGACACTGTATCAGTGGTTGCAAAAAGCTACACCAATTAGGGATCGAGTTTACCCTGGAAAAATCTTAACAATTTATGAGAAACAAAATGGGATTTCACTCTGTCTTTCTTCATGACTTGATCCATAAATGAGGCTCGGGAATCATTGTCATACAAATAAGGTATAGATAGAGAGGAGAAAATTCTATTCTACTCTATAAATACACAGACAGCAGTGAGATACAGCAGGGGGGTATCACTCTTTGTTAGCTTGTCATGAAGTCAGCCATGTCAGCTTTTACATACGTGGTTGTGTCTGCTGTCAAAAGGTTGTAGTGGTAAATGGTAACAATCAATAACTTTGTAGTGCTAACAGACACAAATAAAGACTGGTAGCTTGGCTTGTGGGTTAGCTGTATCCAGATGGCCGTGGTATATCTGTCATATTTTATCTTTATTCTGCAGATAATGGATAAAAAGGATAAACACGCGCTTGTCAAACTCTGCTGTCTTGTGGAAGTTGTTTTGTGCCTCTGTTGCTACCCGAAGTCAAGCCGTGCATTAATGCATTGACTTTAGGGCTGAAGCAAGGTTACTCAGAGAACCTCAATCATATTTCTCAGTGAACGCAGAGACAATAGCGATTTCTGATGGAGATCTCTAATGCACATCTGTATATGCTGCAGCAGCACACAGTCACTCAGAGAAGTTGTTAGGTGTCAGGGAAACTGCATACAATGCATACAAGCTGGCAGATTTATAGCAGGATAATGACACAAGTGCACAATATTCAATTGGGTGCAAAATCTGAATGAATTTGAAAATCATCCCTTTTGACTGGGGCTCTCATTCAACCTGAAGGGCGCCAGAAACGCCAGCCCAGTATAGTAATCTTGGATACTTTCAGTTTAATTTTCCAATGTCCAGGCCAGGTGGGAAGGTAAATGAGCCCAGGTGGCTCGCCTGGCCCGCGGTACCCAGGAGGGAAACCTTGCAATCAACAGCAACAAAAACTAGCTTCCATGGTGATGGATAGTGTCACATGTCCACCTAGTGTCTGCGCTCTAAGTGCTGTGCATGCTGAGGTGATAGCTCGCCTCATCCTCTCCTGTGATAGATTATAGATAGACAAAAAAGCTGCGTGAGCACAGACAGATTTGGGAAATGTGCTGTAACCGTAGACCCCCCGGATCATCATCGTCCCATCTTTTACCAGCTTAAACTGCCACAGGAAGACACTTTCAGTAGTTGAGCAACATTGGCAAGCGTGGATCTTCTTTCCAAATTGCGACGATAAGCAACGCTGAAATGAAATCACACGGAAACCGAAAGCTTATCAAGATGAAACTGTGCAATAATACAAGAATTATCCATCACCATCCATCATGTATTTGTTTGCAGGAAACAGATTACATGGATCTTAATTGAAATATTATTTTACCTTCATTTGAATTATTTATGGGCTCGCTGACTAGATTCATACCTCAGAGAAAAACATGAACACATTATGTGATGCAAGAATGTGTGTGTGTATTTGTGAGCGTTTCTCATATATTATTCAAAGTGTAGAGTCAGAATATGGTCTTACGTGGCCATATGAAGGATTTCAAGGGCCTGTCTTTGATACAATTTACTTGAGATCCACTGGCCAGAGCAGAGCTGTCCATTGGCCTACCATTGCTAATGAGATCGGGGGGTAAAATTGAGAGTGGTGGGCTGGCTGTCATCCGCTAGGTGATGGTTTTAAGACTAAGCAGTGATACTTCATTAATTAACCTTCACATTCTATGTAGATCTGCTCATCAAGATGCAGTTAATTAAAGAAAGGTCATTCCAAGGGCTGCTGGGAAGCGGCATTATTACAATGGAGGGATGGCACTGCTTTGAGCGAGATAACACAGGGGAGGGGGCAGGGAGAGGGTGATCACCCAGCCACTACTGAAATGGCAGATGACTTGCCAAAGCCAGTTTCTGAACTCCTGACTGCAGAGCACCTTAGTCCTGGAAAAAAAGAATCTATTTTTTAGTTGTTTTTGTTTTTTATTTCTTACATTTCCTCTTTTTTTATATATATATAGAAAGACACTGTTGAAAAGCTCTAATGGAGAAAGCCTCGGTAAAATATTCATTACACTCAATCGACAGCATCTATCTTTTAGCATCTCGCTATAGTTTTTCTACCTTCTCTCCCTTTTTTTTGCAGCTCTGTGTCTTCGCTGCCAATTTCTTGGGTGAATTCCGCTCTGACCTTGCAGAGAGGAAAAAAAATGTCATCTTGAGTAAATAAAAGGCCAGGAACTCAGCGGGATATAAAATAGTTATGCGTCATCTGTAAGTGAAATCCACTTCTGTGTGGTGACTTATTCATTTTGATTTCCGCCTATCTATCTATGTATCTATCTTTGTCACTGTCTGCTAAAGCACAGCTCAAACTGTGCAGACTTGTTTTGGAAAGTGGATCAAGTAGATACTATATTTTGTCATAAAGACACTAGTGTATAAAATGTTCCTGTTAGGCTCTTATCAAACAGGAAGCGGTTGTTTTTGTGCAGACCTGCGTACTAACATAAGGACGGAGACAGTTAAAGGCAGCTTAGTATGGAATAATGTGTGTGTGGAATTGCCTCTCAGCCAATCACACAAGTGAGATCAGACTTAGTGTTACAAATGGCTTTCTATAATGTTTTTGCCAAGCCTTATTTTTTGATAATGGCGCCCACCCCCCCTCTTCTCTCTCAGCACCGTCTTGTTTGGAACCTTGGCGTCAGTTTTTCAAAATGTTGCTTCACTGCAAAATTGTAGCGGGACATCAGCTCCTCCCCTGTGTCCACTCAGTCCTCCTGCAGTCATCCCTGAGTGTCTTTTGGCATTGCTTCCAATGGCAGGTGTAGAGACAAACGAGAAGCGGTGTGCAAGCACGCACGCGCATGCATTCAAGCGTGTGTGTGTGTGTGTATACGTGTGTGTATATATCCCTCCCACCCTGCTACGATACAGTAACTGCTGACCCCG